TAATTGTTAATTGATCAAAAAAATGATCTTAAAAATTATACAAAAGGATAAAAAAAATCCAAAAATTACAGATAATAATTAAAAATTACAAAAAAAGAGTAAAATTTTTTTAATTATTTTCTAATTAACTAACAGTTAGAGTTAAATTTTGTTAGTGAAAAAAATAATATTATGCTATTTTCAAAAATTGAAGGATAATTGTGCACCAAAAACGAGTTTAGTATTCTAAACACTTATGAATCTAATAATTTAGGAGCTAAATTATTGTTTAACCCTTCAAATACACATCAAATACACAGTTTTATTTTTCCAAAACATCAAATAAATTCAATATCAAGATCATAGCATTAACTTGAGAAGTAATGGTCGACAAAAGAATACCCTATCTTGGGTGAACTTTTATTAGACGTCTATTAGGTATTTAAAGCACCAAGATTAATTTTTTAATATTTTGAAATTAGAATAATCAAGTTAATACTAATTAAAATGCAGAGATCAAATCATAAATAGGTGAAACTTTAAAAACTAGTTTTCCTTTGACCAAACAAATTTGCTCAGCTTTTTTTATACCGAAAACTGCCGGTAGCAGCATTATTACTATTAATACATTATGATCAACTTTCTTTCGAAATATATTCATAGAAACAAATAAGTTTGATGAAATGTATTCCTATTGATCACATAAAATTCTTAATGAGATATCAATAGCGGGTACAATATAATTTTTTTTTTTAAAAAAAAAACACTCTAAAACCTTTTTTAATTAAAAAGTTGACAAGTAAGAAGGAAGACCGACGAGCGACGAAGGACTTCAATTAATTATAGTACCTGGTGGGACCCTCCGGCTCAAAAAATTGCCGGTTTTAATAGAAACCCACGATGATGAATGACCTGTCAATTTCAAATGTCAATATTATTATTAACACTAATCCATATTTTCTCCATCCATCCCCAAAGCCCTTACGTCACCCTACCCAAAAGCTTGCAGCGTGGCGGTCGCGTGATTGCTTGGATGACGTCATCGTCATGAGTAGTTGCTAAGAGCTGTATGTAATCACTGCTCCTATGCATTCGCCCCTGTATATCTTCCTAATTACAGGATTAACCCCGATCAGTTACATTTGAATCTCTCTTTTGATTTGATTCGTTAATTTGCTAATTAATTAACATAAAAAAAAAGGAGTAAATTCAATTATACCTTCCAAAAATATCCTATTAAACCAGACTTAAAATAAATGGAATTTTATTTCTTACACATCCAACATGTAGCATAGATTTGTAATTCATTCCTTTTTTATACTCATGAATTTCTTAATTATTGACATCATTACAATTTATTGATATATAAAACATTAAATATAAAAAATTCAAAATATATATATATTCATTGAAAATATTTTATTTCTTTTAAATAATTTTAATTTTAATTTAAATTATGTCCATGTATGGTTTGTTTGAACTATTATATTCCTTGGCAAATTTGGTTTGATTACTTTTATATGTCTAATGTGGAACTATTTACTATAAATATTTTATTTGAAATTGCTAATTTATTTTAATTAATCATCATCCGTGCACTGCAAGGGTTTCAATATAAATCAAGATTTGTGAGTACTTTGAAATCATGTTAAGAATATATGTGCTATTGTAGACTTAAATAAGTGAATATCCAAGAAATTGTATTCTTCTTAGCTGTACTCGCATGCATATGTAGCTGAGTAATGTGAACAAAATTATATTTTGATAGATAAAAATTATTAAAATCGACTGATCATTAGTTAATATCAATGTAAATTATAAACTATAACGTGTATTGGAAAATATACTTTTTACACATCATAAAAAATATGATTAATTTTTCAGATTTAGAGCTATGCAAGTGTATCTAATACCTCCTCTCCATAATATTCTTTTTGGAAAAAAATGATCTATCAAAATTTCAATTATCATTATCATTAAGATATTTATATAAAATATTTAATAAGAGTATAATTAAAAAATATAATTTTTTTTTAAAATTAATATTTCAATTTCAATTAACTTGTTTTAAAATAGTTATCAAACTCTTATATATCAATATATGGCTATCAATGGAAAATCTAGTAAATTATGCCAATTGCAAGGTGGGATTTTTTTTTTTTTACCTGAAATATATATTCTAATTTCTGTTAATCGCCATGGTTGTTAATTTGGACTTCCAGCTAAGATTAGACGCTCAATTATTGTTGAAAATAAAAAAGGCACGTCAGATTCAGACATCATTAATCACACTATACATATGTGTCCTTTTTAAGTTCTTTCCAGTTCAGAATTGGAGAAAATGCTGTTAATACCAAATTGTTTTTTGTTTTTACGTATAGTGTCATCTCTGATCAAATGATCATACATTCCATATTTAAAGCAATTATTTGATCCATCACAGGTAATCCAACTTTAATAACTCACACATGGCCCCTAAAAACATTATTGGAGTCCTTTTCTATATACTTTATTAACCCCTAAGCACGATATATAAAACACGGGGCACCTGTTATTTGGACACCTTAATCTTCATTCAAGGCTGTTTGTGGCACTAGGCCAATAAGGCTGTCACATTAGGCCTAAAAAAAAATTTACTTATACTTTATATAATCGATTGTTATTTCTTTCATTAAGCATTAATGTTAATATATTTTTATTAAGAAATTATTATTTGTGTTTATCCTATATAACTCATCATTAATTTTTTTATTAACCAATAGACCTCTTAAATAATTTAATATTTGATCTTATAGCTCAAAAAATAGAAAAGTGATATGAATATGTATAAGCAATAATATATTAAGTTTCTTAAATAATTTTGCTTTAGGTCTCATAGCTCCTTCATGCGACCCTGTCTTCAATGAGTATTTAGATTTTTCTTTTTTTGAGTTGGCAAAGACCTAAATGTTTCTTAAAAAAATATTTTAGCATTATACTTAATCTTAAATATAAGATAAATACTCCCTCTTGTTCTATTTATAGGATAGAGAAAAAAGAATTTTTTTGATTCTATTTATAAATCACGTCATTAAATTTTTATCATAAAATTTTTTACCCTCCATTAAATATTAGAGAGAGAAAGTATGTTATTAAATTGTGTATATTTAATAGGGGAAAGGTTGAGAATTTATTAAATTTTAAGATAGAGTTAATAAATTTTAAGATTTTTTTTTGAACTGGCGAAACATGTTGAAAGTAACTTATAAATAAAATAGAAGAGTTAGTAGCAATTATCTGTTATATTACCTCTCATTTATTGTATTTTTTTTTAATTTGAAATCATCTTTCACTCTTATTATGGGTCTATAATACAGCCCCAAAATATCAATCGTACATATTATTGTCCCAAACGTGAACCGTCAAGCTTAAGATTTTGTCCTTTCCCCATTATTCCCATAATGACATTATGGGAATAATTGAATGCAAGCTGTGTTCATTTTGCATGCTCACATTCACAACATTTTTTCTCGCATTTTATTATGATGAGATTTTCTTATGCCATGGATAGATGTTACAATTGTTTTGCCATTAATTACATCATTATGCAATGTATAAATGATTTTGTTGACGTGTGTTGAAAGATCTAAATGCAAATAGTGAAGAAAATAATATTGAAATAAATTACAATAATTAAAACAAGTTGTTGTCCATACAAACTTCAACTTAGAGTGGATATAGTGGTTACTAATAAAAGTTGGCCAAATTAATAAGAATTTGACTCATAATTTATAAAGTTATGGATCAAATTTCATTGTTGATATAACAATCTTATTGGCGGGCGATTTGAAAAATACCTTTGTAAGGGCTCTTTGAGCCTAAAGGCATATCCTAATTCTTATAAGTAGGTCAAATTAAGAAATTTTGAAGCTTAAGACGAATTGAGTAAAAAGGTCTAACATATAATTATTCACTGAACCTTATATTATTTTTTTAGCCTTTTGAATTGCAAAATCAAATAATAAAGTTTTGTAATTAAGAAATTCTAACATTCACTCTCTTAACCAAATTCATACTTTCTATTTGACATTTTTTATTATTAGAAATAAAAAAAATTAAATACTTAGTATTTTATATCTTAAAAAATAAAGTTTGGATTAAAAAAATAAATAAATAAACATTATGGTGAGTAGTGCAGAAAGGAAAACACAAGGCCCATGCTCAATGGTGTATGCTTTAATGCTTTGGTTGGATTCAGAATTATAAAAAAAAATTGTAGCAAAAAAGGTATATAATGATCAGTGTTCTTTTTTTTTTTTTATATGCAATTGTCTTATTTGTCTATGGGCTCTCATGACCTTATTTGTGAATTTTCGAGATCGAACTTATTTAAACTTTAATTTATTAAAAAAAGAGAATGAATATACTAGTTGCAGAGAGAGCAATTCACTTGGAATACATACCGTTGGCAAGACAAACATTTGCTAGGGTAAAGTCTATTTGAATTATATATCATAAAATATAACGATCAAAATGTCCCTATCAATTTAAATACCATCACTGATAACATATGTAGTTTGTGGGTTTGAACGTCTCTCTAGGTGTATTCAAATTAAATATTTCAGTTTATTATAATTTATTCAATTAGATTGATCAATCCATGTAAATATAGTACTTAATATAAGTTAAATATTACTTAATATTCACAATATTATTTTAGTTAGGCATTTGTTTTCATGTCCTTGAAACTCCACTCAACTCTCTTTAGAGTTACCATTTCTCATTTGCCGTGGCATCGCATGAATTGTTGCATCCGAGGAGACAGTGTCAAGTTTTGTAATATCAAGGAAAATCAGTGGTATTGCGGAGATAATAAAGTTAGCCTGCTCGCCCAGAAAAAATAAAATAAAATAATTTATTTTCAGAGGAGATTTCCCATCACCTTCCTTCGCGCAAAATATTCTAATGGCCCCACCAGTAGCCACTTAATTTCAAAGATAAATAGAAGTCCAGAACCACTTCCGCATAATCTTCAGCTTCTTCAAACCCTGCGTTCCCACAAAACAGAGACAAGTTCAGAGACAGGGGAAGCAGCAAAACCTACGAAATTCATTCCGAGGTAACACCGATCAATCATGGTTTTGTCATCCCAGACAGACCTTCCTTTCAACGAGAACGACTCACAAGACATGGTCATATACCAAGTCCTCCACGAGGCCAATACTCTTCACACCGCCGCCGCCGCCGCCGCCGCCACCTCCTCATCCTCCTCCGCCACCGCCGACGCCGCCACATTCATCCAGCAAAGGCAACAAACCTCCGTACGGAACGTGCTCGAGCCATCCAGGACCGTCGGAAAGAAGCATTACAGAGGCGTGAGGCGGAGGCCGTGGGGGAAGTACGCGGCGGAGATCCGCGACTCTGCCAGGCACGGAGCACGCGTGTGGCTGGGTACGTTCGAAACCGCCGAGGAAGCCGCCATGGCTTACGATCGAGCGGCTTTTAGAATGAGAGGTGCGAAGGCCTTACTCAATTTTCCAGCAGAAATCGTAGCTTCTTCCATGGACATGTCTAGTGATTCTAACAAGCCTGGTTTGATGAGCTCCTCAGGAAGATTGTGTAATCAAGATTCAGATTCAAGTGCTAGCAGCAGCTCCTGCGTTAATTCCATTGGAACAAATGGAACCTTCTTAGAAAGCACAAGCAGCACAGACAGTTAGAAACAGTATTGCATATTTCATTTCATGGATCTCTTAGATTATATCTTGTCCGTGACATCGATGCTTAGCTAGACAAGTCGGATTTGGGTTGTCTGATATCATTCGAGGAATTAGTTGAAATTTTTTTGACTTCCAGAAATGAAAGATTGGAACCTTAGACATTAGAAATGCCAGCAGATATTCTAAATCCGAGGAATCTGGGAAGGTTTTTCGACCAACAAAGGAACAAGAAATTTAAAGTAATGTGATGCAATGCGATGGTAGGGGTTAGCGAAGATAAGGTGTTTTTCTGTAGTTGGTTAGTTTTTCTTTTCTGTCATGAGTCACTGAGATATTCATATGTAATATTGTCCAGGAAAAAAAAGAAAAAGAGATGTTAAAAAATTGAAATTCCAGAGAGTAATCAATGTTGAAGTTATTCATTTGATTAATTTAGTTATTCGGTACGAAATCCACTCTTGCTTTTGTTTAGTAAACTCCAAAAGCCTCTTATATCCTTAACCATAAACATATAGTACACTCTAAACAACAAGTGAACATTCAAAACTATATTCTTTATTCTTTAAACAGGAGCTTCAAATATATAGTACAAAAGTTAATCTTAAACAATTCAATTGTGCAATATGCTTATTATAATTTTTTTTTTACTTGAAGAATCTTTCGACAAAAATTTAAGGAAAAATAGCATCTAAAGATCTTTATGTCAAATTTATTTCACACAAGAATCAAATAATTTGGTATTTGCTTGTCCTCTCTGGTCCTTCTTTCATATTAACTTTGTAAGCAAAATGATGAAATTGCTGTTAAGTTAAAAAACAAAAAAGAAAAGAAAACCCATATCATCGCCGTCATCATCTGTCGGACTGCCATTAACAATGAGGTCACTAACGATCGGTCAACAGAGCTCCAACGCTGGTAACATATTTATTAAAGAAATAATTGTTTAGGTGGCTAAGGGAGGGTTTGATCCCATGACTCTTGGCCATCTAAAAATATATAGCCAAAAAAAAAGTGGTAAATTAAATTTCTAACCACTTTTATATCATAATATAATAAGGTGGTGTTAATTTTTGAATGTCACTTGTTGTTTTACAAATATTACATGTTAATCTAATATGGACAATTACAAATTGAGAGTTTTAAAACTTCTTACATTTTACTTGTTAAAAATTTGAATGTATTGTTATTAATCATGAATGGGTTGTTGTCAAAACCTGAACAGATACTTATTAATGAATGACTAACACGTACAATTAAGCCTTTTCTATCAGTTTTTCTAACTTGTTAAAACCAAAATATATTATTGTTAATTTCAAATAAATTGTTGTGAAAATTTAAATGTACATTTGTTGATTAAGGACTAATACATACAATTAAGCACATCTTATCTGTTTTCCTAACTTGTTAAAGTTTGAAAGGACTATTATTAATTTAGAATGAATTGTTATCAAAACCCAAATAGATACTTATAGTTGATGATTAAAAGTACAAGTCTAATGAACTGTTGCTTTTCTATATTGTTAAATCCAGAATGAACTGTTGTTAATTTAAAAAGAGTTGTTATAAAAATCTGAATAAATACTTATTGATGAAAGACTAACATATACATTTATGCCAATCCTATATGTTTTTCTAGCTTGTTAAATCCCAAATGAACTGTTATTAATTTAGAATGAGTTGTTGTCAAAACTTGAATGGATATTTGTTGATAAAAGACTAACACATACAATTATACCAATCTTATATGTTTTTTCAGCTTGTTAAAACTCGAATAAACTGTTGTTAATTTAGAATGAATTGTTGTCAAAACTCGAATGAATACTTGATACTGATGATTAAAAACATAGTCCTAATGGAATCAGTGTATAAAAAACAAGCAATTCTAAATTAGCAGCAATCCATTTTGGCTTTAACACGTAAGAAAAGTATATAGGATAAGTATAATTGTATATGTTAGTTTTTTATTAACAAGTATCTATTCGAATTTTGATAATAACTCATTCTAAATTAACAGCAGTCCATTCGAATTTTAAAAAGCTAGATTAGCATATAGGATTGGCATAATTGGATGTATTAGTTTTTCATTGATAAATATTTATTCAGGTTTTGACAACAACGCATTATAAATTAACAACAGTCTATTTAGAATTTAACAACCTAGAAAAGCAACAGTCTATTAGACTTATACTTTTAATCATCAACTATAACTATCTATTTGGGTTTTGATAATAATTTATTCTAATTAACAACAGTTCATTCGAGTTTACAAATTAGAAAAATAGATAAAATGTGTTTAATTGTACACGTTAGTCTTTTATTAACAAATGTATATTTAAATTTTTACAACAATTCATTTAAAATTAACAATAATCTATTCTGGTTTTAACAAGTTAGAAAAATTGATAGGAAAGAATTAGTTATATGTGTTAATCATTCATTAACAAATATCTGTTTAGGTTTTGACAACAACCTATTCATAATTAATAACAATACATTTGGACTTTTAATAAGTAAAATGCATGAAATTTTAAAGTTCTTAATTTGTAATTGTTCATGTCAGATTAATAAGTAACAATTGTAAAATAACAAGTGCCGTTTAGAAATTAACAATATCTCGTTATGTTATGACGTGGAAGTGGTTAGAAGATTGGTTTATATATATATATATATATATATATATTATTTACTATATATAAATAAAAGGCTTAGTGGTCGGCCATTAAGCTTTTTAGATAACCAAGGGTTATAAAATCAAACACTCTCTTAGCCACCTAAACAATTATTCCTTGAATAAATATGTCGTTGGAGTTTCAATTACTAGCTGCAGGCAACCTTGCAGACAATAGGGGTTTCGGCAACCCTGCCATTGACGGTGGTTTGATGATTGACGATGGTGAGAGTTTCTTTTGTTTTGTTTTTTTTTTAATTAGAGAGATAGTTTAAACTTTAAACTTTAAAAATTAACATCAGTCAAAGATTAAGGAATTAAAATGTAATTTTAAAATCAATTAATCCTTGACTAATGTTAATTTTTCGATCCTTAGATGGCAATTTTTCAAAATTTAATGTATAATTTGGAGTTAGTTGTTTTTAAATGTTTATTATGTCATTCAACAATTGAATTAGTCTAATCTATTTTGACTAGATTCTACCGGATCAATTGAATTAATTAATCTGGTTCAAATCAATTAATTCAACCTGTTAAATTTGGATGGATTCTATTTTGTATCGCCCTAATTACATTATTTAATTTTGACCTCAAACTCAACTTGAATCAAATTGATTATGACAATTCTTCTAAGAAGCAACACGATATATAGTTTGAGTTAAGGTATAGATTTGCCATCAATATTTTCATCCAAGCCTGATGTCTTAAAGTATTTTTTTTAGCACAATTTCATCCTTAATATTTTTTAATTTGATACAACCTTACCTTACTGTTAAAATCTGATCATGTTGGCTATTTATTTGATTTTTACTTATCAAGTGACATATTTTAACAATTAAAAATTAAAAAAAGAAAAGAAAAAAATCCAACTCAGATTTGATAGAAAATCAATATTTTTTCTTCCTCCTCAACCGATCTTCTTGTTGTTCCTACACTCACTAAAGCCACAGGTTCCATAAGCAATGAAAAGGGAAATCAAGCACCAGAAAAATTCTAGATCCACCATAGCAGCATTTACACAAAAATTCCAGATCCACTGCCGCACAATCAACATTCCAGCAAGCTCCACATTTTACAAGAAAATAAACAAATTGAAATAAAATTTTTTAACAAATAGCTAAAAAAGATGAACCATCCAAACCCAGACCTCCAATCCCAAAATCAGACTGATTGTTGCTGCAGAAGAAGAATCAAAGGATTTAGAAACCTTCGATCAAACCCAGAAACCCAGATCCCTGACAAAGTGGCTCTCCTGGGTTCAAGAACACACCTTCGATCGAACTCAGAAACCTAGAAACTCAAAATCGAACGGATTTGATGGAGAGACAAACAGATCTGATTAATTCCAAATCCAGGTGAATTTCTATTCTGGATCTACTTATTTCAAGGAACCCAGAACCCAAAATTGAACCCCTTCAATGAAACCCAGAAATCACATAACCCAGAATCGAACCCCTTGAAACCCTTCAATCAAACCCAACCCAGCTTTTGACCAATGAATCGATCCCCCTATCCCTGTCCCTGTACCAATCGAATCCAACCCAGCTTTGGGATGAGGAAGAGAGATTTTTCGGGAGAAAATGTTCAATGAAGCAAACTGAAGAAGTGGCAATTGAAAGAAAATAAAATAAACCCCAGACATAGCTTGCTAACATGGCAAGCAAGCTAGTTAAGCAAATAATGCTCATATAACGGTCAATGCAATCAGAGGATAACGGGAGGCAACTTTGTACTTTGAAAAATGTGGAGGTAAAATTATCCTAAATAATATAAAATATGGGGTGTCTTTAGGTCAAAACATCATAACCATATCTTAACCCTATATCATTCATTGCTAATTTTATCAGTTTAGAGAACTCCAGTAAAAAAAAAAATTATTTTCTTTAGTTTATTAACTATATATTCATTTTAGATTGGAGAAAACACAAATTAAAGTGTCTATATCATCTCAAAAATCAAGTATCCTGATATAGATATATGATAAGACTATATGAAAACTTATTTTAAAAAAGTGCTCAAAGTAAACCATTAGAACATTAGGATCAATTAATTAAGAGGCTGATCAAGTTTAATTAGAGCTTAGAGGTTTTGACTTTGAGCCTTAAATGTGTAACAATGATTAAATTCTTGATGAAAGGTATATCCTTTAAAGAAGTGATTGTAAAACTGACAGGATTAGTTTGAATCAAAAGCTTAAGATAAACAAAATGTCAAAGTAAAATTTACATAATAAGAATTCCCCTGCATTCGCCCATAATTGCTTTTAGTAAATTTTGAATAAAAACAGGGTGTACACCTCCAAATTTAGTCCTGTCATTTTGTAATAATAATAATAATAAAAAAACAGGGTGTACAATTTCTATTAACCTCATAAAACATCATTTTTCTCTAAATAATAAAAATTAGCAGATATTTACCGCACCTTGTCCCAAATTTTTTACCTCAATGTGTTTTGATGTTTGGAAACAACATGAGCAACACAGCAAGGAAAAGAAATATATTCCCCGGGGGCCAGAGAGGTATAGAATTATCTCCAATACAAATATGCAATACTTCTACTATTGATATTACAGTTACAGATCATTTGACATGCGTTTTTTACAATATGAATATCAAAGTATGTGCTTATATGTTCAGGAAAATTGCTTCAATATTTCTAGCTAGCCTGTTGTCACTATTCTCTCAAAAGGAAGATAACAAGCTTTCTAAATAATCACTTCCCAGGTCCTGAAACTCAAAAACATCATCTTCATTCCCTGTCACCCCTCCCAAGCTTGTCATTTTCTTCTTTGCACGTTCTTCATTCATCACACCAGCAAGCGCATCTGTCTCCCTACACCTTCTCTTTGTGGAACTGCGGAAATTTTCTTGACAGTTTCCTTTCTGGTCAAATCCTGATGAGGCCTTTGAAACAGTCTCAAGTGGGAAATTCAGGCATGCCTTTTGGCCTCTAATTCTCAAAGCAGCCTTATCATAAGCCAAAGCTGCTTCCTCAGCTGTGTCAAAAGTTCCAAGCCAAACCCTAGCTCCTTTCCTTGATGAGTCTCTGATTTCTGCTGCGTATTTCCCCCATGGCCTTCTCCTCACTCCTCTGAAGTGTTTTGCAGCTACCTTCTTCTCTGCTTTCACTCTCACTGCTTCTTCTTCTTCTTCTAGTTCTTCTTCAACCTTCTTATTGCTTTCAAAGGCACTGCAAATTTCAGCACTTTTACTGTGACAATCTGGAAACCCATCTAAGATTTCTTCCCAGAAATCAGCTCCCATTGATATCCATCTTCCTAAACTAGGAAGTCTTCTCAGAACTTCCATAGACTCTTCTCTTCCATCTAGATTAGGAAGTTCTTTCCATTGTGATCCATTATTGCTGTCAATGATTTTAGCCCACACGTTCTCAAGAATGCCTTCAGAAGCTGAATCTTGATTCCCATGAATAGCCATGTTTGTTAACTGAAGAGAAAGGAAAAGTGATGATGATTTAAATATATAAGAAAAGGTGGGTATGCATTCTCAGAATGAAGACTTTTTTTGGGCTTTGACAGCTCAGCTTTGCTTTGCTCTAAATTGAGTTGGTAACTTGTGCTTCAATCTGCTGACCAGCTAATTCTGTGAGGGATTTCAGTGTTTTCAACACCAAGGGAAAAAAGAAAAGGGAGACTTTGAGTAATGGGATTCAGTGTTTTTATTGTTTTCTCTCTTGACTTGTGTGCTTGTTCAATTACTTGGGACTTTTTCCCAGGCAGATTCTATGTACTTTACACATTGAATTCCTCTTGTCATACACATAAACAGTTAAGCAAAGCATCTGAAAGCTCGCAAGGGAATATCAGGTGTACGGTTTTGTGGCTTTTTTCACAGGTACCATCATGTACTTGGCACAAGCTTCTCCAGTTTCAAAATTCTCTAGCCTTCAATATATCAGAACAGAGATTGCTGTTTAAGTTTATTTATTATTTGCTTACGTTTAAGCCTCTAGATTGTTGAGACTGAGATTAATTTAACCATATTTTTTTGCAGGTTTTGTGCTCATGTACTCTGCATCAGTTTTGATGATTAAGAAACCCATTTATGTAATAATGTTTGTTGCAACATAAAGATAGTACCCACACGCTATTAAATCTTTGTTCTTCATGAAGTCTCTGTGCTCACAAAGTCAAAGGTATACCGTACAATAGCTGCCTTTTCCCCTCTAGGGAAATAATTGCTCGGGTAAATGATCTTTTTTCCCTCAATATATATACCCATTTTTATTAGACTTTAGAATTTTTTTGGGGTGATTTTTGTTCTACATTTGTTGTTACCTATCAATCTAGATTTTGAGTCATATGGGGTATTAAATGGAACAAGCCTCTTTCAACATGCATAATTCTCTTTTTTTTCATTATTCACAATATTGGAATTGAAGACTTTTCTAATTTTTCAAGACCTTTTTAAGTTTAACAATTACTTTTAAATGTTCAAATGAAATAACTTCAGAAACTATATTTTGAATTTTAATTTGAAAATTTCGAAGTATAGAAGGTGTGTGTGTGTAATATAATAGGAAATAAGAATAAATTAGTTTCTAAACTATAGATCTAGAGATCCTAAATTTATTTTTAATATAATGTTTTTTTCAACTTTTGAAAACAATATAATTTATCTTTTATCATTAATAAAAGTTAACTTTAATTGTTAGTTGAAAAAAAAACCTAAAAATTGTTAAAAAAAGAACCAATAAATTTTTTTTAGTCCATTTCAGTTATTTTCTTGTCTTTGTTTGTAATTTTTAAGTCATTTATTATATTTGTTAGTCCTCTGCTATAATTTTTTAATGTTTTTATCTGTCATTCTTTGGTTAAAGTTAATTTTTATTAATTATAGAAGTCAAATTAAACTATTTTCAAAAATTAAAAGAAAACATTATCATACTAAATATGAGTTAATGGTCTCATACGTTCTTAGACTTATAGTTTAGATGTCAATGTGCTCATTTATCCTAAAAAATAAGTTTATTTAATACAAAACATAAAATTTATTTATAACAGGTCGAGCTATTTGTAAATTAAAAAATAGTGGGATTCATGTTGACAAAATGTTTGAGTTCAACGTCAAGAGGGGAAAAATAATTAATCAAAATCAAAAATTAAATTAGAAGTGAATGTTAGCAAAAGGCGAAGTGAGCACGAAATAATAAAGGCTAAGAATCCCAAAACTGAAGCAATGGAAGACCAAGGTGGCGTGAGAAAGAATGCATATAAAGAGCATTTGTTGGGGAAAAAAATATAAAATAGATTAAAAAAGAGGTGGAATAAAAAATTAATAGTGATGATCATCAGATAATAATGATTAAAAAATGAAATTGGAAAATAAAATCGCCGCCGCAAAACAGGTGCTTGCAAAATAAGATTACGATTTACGAGTATGAGGCTCGTTATGGATTTGGGGTCTCTGATTTCCAAACTTGAAGGCAAGAAAACAAGATATTGCAGCCTCATCCTTACCAATTAACATTGTCCTTGATACATGAAAATTAAGAATAATAGGAGTAATTAGGGGACTTAGGAATATAGAAATAGTTTGGGTATTTACATGTATTTTTTATAAATAAATTTTTAAATTGTGATGAGTTATTATGAATGAAATTAATTTTTATCTTTTTTTCTATTCTCCTTCTGCCTCTCCTCTCTCTCCTTCTTTCTCTTCTACCTATCAAAGGTACCAGAGCCTCCTCTCTGGTCATAGAGGAGCCATTGGAGATTTGATCCTCTAATCGTAGAGGTGAACTAAAGCACTGCCTTGATTTTAAGCAATTTATGTCTCATATTTCACAACAGATGAATGAAATCTCGACTAAGCTCACTCTACTTGTCAACCAACGCTTGTACCCTCCTTCGACAATGATGACATTTGCGTCTACCACTACTATTCCTCCTCCGCCTTCAGTCACTAGAAAAACAATCCTCACAGCAGTCACAGAGTTAGGACAGTTGAACGTTTCATCTGTGACTGAGTACGCACAGCAATTCCAAGAAATCTTACCGTATGCACACCTTCCAGAGTCCACCACCACCAAGGTCTTCATCAACGGACTTCAACCTGAACTCCAGAGATTTAGCTAAGGCTTCAATCCAAATAGTTTAGTTAGCACCATATATATGGCAGATTTTCATGAGAAGTATAGCCAAAAGGGGAAGCAAGACATGGAGAATGTTGGTTCAACAAATATAAATAACCTGGATAATGACTTTGACAAAGATAAAAAAGAACACAAAAGTATAGAGAAGGAGTTCACGATTCAAGAAGTTACTGATCAAAAATTGAAACAACCAAAGTTAACAAAGTTTACATGCATAGAAGATGTGACGATACAGGAAAACTCAGCGTTTGAGGAATGCGATTCTGTCAAGAAAGATGTGCAGACAACAACACTCATTAGATCCCTAAATCAAGAACCATGAGAGTGTCTAGTATTAACGAGCTCATCTACACTTATCAACTTGAAGCATTTGAAGTAACCGATGACTCTGACCTACTTAATGAGAGATTTTTGCACTATACTTCCATCATCAATTTTTGGGCCCTCTCTTCTGAGTATTTCAATCGGTTCTTCACCACTTGTTGTTATGTGCCTTCACAAGGTGAGCCATCATCATCATTAAATTTTCAAAACAGAGCACAAAGACTCCTCAACGATTTCAATGGCAACGTTGAAGTCTTCCTTTTGCATCAGAAACTTGATGCCTACAGTCGAGTTCTCGCATAGTTGAGCATCCCTGTTGCTGGTCAGCTTGTTGAAGGCCAAGTCTTCCTTCTGCATCAGAAGCTCCTACAGTTGAGTTCTTGTACGGTTCAGCATCCTTGTTGCTGGTCAGTTTGTTGAAGGCCATGCCGGCGCCTTCACCGGCGAACACAAAGATGAGGGTGGCAATGAACTCGGCCAAATTGACCTTTAGGGTGTCAGATGAGCGGCCTTCAGGCGTATGGCTTCAATCATGAAGATGACGGGTTGAGTAGAGATTTGTAAGTGATCATGGACTTAGGGTTTTTGTTGGGATTTGCTCAATATCCTCTAGCTGTGTGCGCTTCTCGTGGAATTGAACTGGACCCAATTCGAAATTTGGGCTTCTTGAATGATCATCTGGGTCCATGTGTGATTGTAAAAATACCCCAACGGTCATATTTTTCCACGATTGCAGATTTGCCCCTAGTGTCCTCCCAGTATTCTCCACGCAGCAACAAGCAAGCACATTCTCACATGTTTTGGGGTTCTCTAGCATCCCCGGCCCAAAAGTCTCTTGAAAAGGGAATAATCCAAAATGGGTTAAATTCCAATAATGCTAGACAATATGTTGATGAAGTTTGGGCTTATCAAAAAGCTTTTGGGTGGAATTGGATCTTGAAGATGGAGCTAAGGAACATTCTCAAGCTTCGACAATGCTCATTTCACAAGTTTAGGTGGCTTGCTATGATGGGCTTTTAAATTTGGATTTTTGATGTCCATTAATTATATTCTTAACTTATTTTATTTTAAAAGTTTTTGCAACTTAAGGTCAAAAAAAAAAAAGCTAAGTCTTATTTTAGATATATATTTTCTGCTTTTGTATTGATCCTTGAGGACAAAGATCTCTTGTTGGGGGGAGCATTGATATATGAGAATTAGGAATTATAAGGGTAATTAGGAGAATTAGGAATATAAGGATAGTTTGGGTATTTAGATATATTTTTTATAAATAAGTCTTTAGGTTGTAATGGATCATTATAAATGAAATTGATCTTTATTTTTCTCTCTATTCTCCTTCTTCCTATCCTTCCTCTCCCTCTTTCTCTTCTACCTCTATCAGTCCTGTTCCATAAGAATATGTTTCTGTTTTCGTAGCACTCAAAGCAAAGCAGTGAAGTGAGTTAGCAAAACAATCAACCAAGTTGAAGCAATTTTGTAACCATGCATGAAACAATTTTAACCGGCGATCGAATGTGGCATTTCATTTGAAACTTGTAAAACCCAACTTTTTCCCATGTCGTTGATAGATCTAGTACAATTTTTTCCTACACTTGAAACTTGATCACACGACTTATATAATAATAATAATAATAATAATAATAATAATGTAAAACAAGTAGTAGAGAATAATTATGGAGCTATGAAGTGAGTTCTCTAGCGACAGAACGAATGGCTGCTTCACCCACAATCTTGTACATCATCTCTGTGGGATGAACAGCGTCCCAGAAAATGTATTTGCTTGGATCCGAACATGTCTCCAATCCTCTGCATGATTCCCCGTATTCCACTGTCCCTGTCCCACAACATCCCTTTGATCCTTCCTCAAATCCTGCAAAATTCATTGTCCTCTGTCTGTCAAGTCTAAAGATGCATCAGAGAACGGTCAAATAGGCTGTGGGTTGATATTACTAATTACCGTGCTTGATGGGGTCAAGAACAGCATTGAGGATAGAGTTATAAACATCAACATAGGCCATTTTTACACCAAGTTTTGCCCTCAAGGTTGCCATTTGGTGCAATATCTTTGAGTTGAATGAGTATGATATTCTGTTCAAGCTTGCCACACAGTCTCTCTTGTTCTGCAACGCTTTCATCAGTGGAAGGCATCCCATTGGTGGTACCCCCACCACTATAATCCTCTTGGCTCCTAGCCTGTGCATCCCCTGCACTCCTCCACATGAGAAGCTTCAATCAAACCTTCAAGAAAATTATTAGGAAAGGGAAAAAAAAAAAGAAAAAAAAAACTAAGATCAGAGAGAGGGGTGTTGGAAAGTAGGAGCAACAAAGCCCGAAAAGAGTAGCGAAAAGACAGCATGTCTTAAACTTAAAATCTCATGGCTCTTGAGCATTTGTTCTCCTATCCATTTCCGGGCTATGTTGCTTCCACTTTCTAACAAGTGGTTTTAGAACCTCGATGGTATGAGAAAAGCGGGAGAGCAAGAAATTCTGGAACTGTAGAATGCTGAATTGATTGGGGCGAGTAGGATCCAAGAAGTAGTTTTGGAGGAAATCATTTGTGCCCATGCTGATGATATAAAGGGCATTTCTTACAATGAATTCTGATCTTTCCACACCCACTAGTTTTCTCAGATGGATCTTGTAATGCTCAAAGTACTCTAGTTGTTTGGACACTGGCAGAACGTTCTGTTTCACCAAAGGAAAACGAGAATGTGAGGAAAAAAATTATCAATTTGCTTGGCCTTTTTTTAATTTATTCATGAATGATTCAGAAAAGGCCACACAATTTACCGAAATATTGGCAGTAAAATCGTCATATCCTGTAGCTGCTGATGCAAAGCTAACCCCATGTGGAAGGTCTGATAGCTTCAGATTTGGGTCTAGAAATGCTGGAACTGTTTTTCTGTATCCTACTGCCTCAGCTGCATCAAGAGTTTGATTCTAAGTTTTCTTTTTCCTTCCTTTTTATTTTTTCTAAAATGTGAAGTTGAAAACAAACGATAAATGTGAATAACAAAAACATCATCTTCTGAAATGGTAGGATCCTCCTGTTCTTGAAAGAGACATATGACAATATCTAACTTCCAAAGCTATTATCAATAGTTTGCTCAAAAAAAAAAGAAAAACTATTATCAACAGTCCATATTAAACAGATTTTAATCCGAAAGGTTTCTCAGTTGTGCCTCTAAACTAAACTACCAACTTAGTCCAGTCAAAAGCAATCTATGAAGACGGACAAAGGAGTTAGTTAGAATCTGACCAAGGAAATCTGAGGCAAGCCTGCCATCACTGAACCTTCCTGTTGGTCGGCCATTGAAGAAGTCCTTTCCATAAGGCGCAAAGTTGCTTTTCATCAAGGTGGGAAGAACATTGTTGTTTCCGGGATCTACACTTGAATCTCCGAACACCAAGATGCATGAAACATTATACTGAATTGCAAGTTGTCTGATGTTGGGAACGCCCACAGAAAGTGAAAGCCATGGCATTACAGCAAGTATCAGAATTGTCTGCTTCACTAGTAATGATGCCAATGCCATACTTTAATTAGATGAACACAAGGCTTTGAAAAAGAAAGAACCAAGCAAGAGACCTGAGGACTGCAGGTTCATTAACCCTTTTGCTTAAATAGCCCTCACCTAACAGATATGTAAATGTTAAAACTAAAAAGACTAGCTTTCATATATGTTAGGATTATGATTATGAAATGGTTGGTTGTGTTGGTATATACCTCCTGCTTCTGTTTGTAAATTATTTTTAACATTTTTATTAAAATTAAAAAAAGTTTTAAATTTTATTAACTCTATCTAAAAATTCAATAATATTTTAACTTTACTCTTATTAAGAATATCTACTTTAAAATAAAATATTTTAATATTTAATAGACTTCCCAATAGTTAACAAGGGCAAAATGATAAAATACAAACATAATAATTATTAAAATGTTTTATAAATAAGGTCAAATTAAATACTCTATTTTATAAATAGGATTAGATGAATATGTTTTAGTATGAAATAGTAAATTGAATCATGAAATGAAAATATAAGATATGGGGAAGTCGGTAGAAGCATCTGAAATATGGTGCACGGAATTAACTGCTGCATTTAAACCATTAATTGGAACAGCAAGTTGGCTGAATAGTCTGCCAGTGGTAAATTTAAATACTTCGCACAGTCACTGTCATCTGCTATATTAATTGTGGGGTCGTAAAATTTTGGGAAATATCAGTTCTACTCTACCCCTTTTGCTTTTTATGGTTATTAAGCGCTACTTATGGTCTCTTAATCTGCTAGGTTCATTACTATGAGATGTTTTTCTAAAATACATCCTCTGTTTTTATTTGTTAAGAAATTATCATTTTTTATAAATAAAATTACATATTTTAATAAAAATTTATTACAAATTTATTAAACTACCCTTTATAATTTATATTAACAAAAAATAATTGATGCATACTTATATTAATTAACATAAAGTATTTTAATATAATTTTTTATTTTTAAATATAATTATTATAGTTGACCAATTTTTTTAAATTATATGAGACAACATTTTTTATTATATTTAAAAATAGAGAGCGTATCATATTAAAAAGTATAAGGCATTTTGAGTTTTTAAATTTATGATCAGTACTATCTCTGTCTTAATTTATAAAATATTTTTATATAAAATCATGCATATCAATAAAGCTCATTAAATATACTTAACAACCTTATTTTTTAAAAAATAAAAACATAAACTTTCAAAAATACTCTTTATTTAATACTATAGTTGTGAAAGAACATTAAAGAGAGGTAGAATATAATGGGAAATGTAATATTAGAAAAATATCATTAAAGAAACTTGGGGTGTTCACAGAACAGGATCGAGACATTTCTATCTGATGTCTCGTCCTAAAAAATGATTTGAACTAAATTTTTATCCTGTATTCCGTTCCGTCTTGTTAGAAATCATGATGTCCCATTAAAGCGAATGTGAAAGAGATAACTGAATACAACATTTATTAAAATATTAAATCACATAATTTGATAAGTCTAAAACATAAATAAGATGAGTACACAGGGGCAGAACCAACTTTAAAAATCAAGGGGGCCAATTTTTTTAAAAAATAAATGTATACTTAATTTTTAAAATTAATTTTATTAGTTAAAATATATTATTATATTAATTATTAGAAGTATATAATTATATAAATATTTCAAGAAAATTGAAAAAAAATACAAGATACCATATATCAAAATAACTGAATATAATATATATTTTTTTAGTGCTATTTATAAGTCACTTCAAGTATTTTTATCGAAATCAAGAAAAAATTTTACACCTCATTAACTTTATATAAAAATTTAACATATTTTTTTTACTTTATCCTTATTAAATATACATATTTTAAAAATAAAATATTCTAGTATTTAATATCATTCCCAACATTTAATATGAGTAATGATAAAAATGGACACAATATTCATTAAAGTATTTTATAAATAGGACCAAAATAAGTATTCTTTCTACCTTACATATAGGACCAAAGAAGTACAAATAAAAAAAATGTATGCATATTGTATTTTATACATATCAGACCTTAATTAAAAAAAGATATATGATGAGTTTTTTTTTTTTTGAGGGGGGCTACAACAGACACCAGCCCCTCTTATAATGTTTGAGGGATTGGGGTGGGAGAGGGGGCTGTGATTACATAAATAACAATAGCATTTAAAATTAGATTGAGATTTAGAGACAGGAATTGAGTTGAGACTTGTGAGTTCAGAGGAATAAGAAGTTGAGAATGGCATTCAAAGTTGTGAAGGAGATATGATAGATGAGAGAGGAGTGTTTAGTTATTAATATAAGTCAATAAAAAGTATATAAACACAAAATAAGAACAAATAAACCATAACATAATAATTAATACATATAATAAAAAAATAATAGAGACATACATACATATATATCATGTTTCGAGGACAATCTCGAATTCTGTCCTGCCTCAAAAATTTCTAACTTGATATAATCAGAACAGAGTTGAGCTGATTGAAACAAGTACAAGATTGAATACTTTTAAATAAAATCTTATTTTTATTAAAATGATATCTTAATATATTCAATCTTTCTAAAAAATATCTTATAAATTAAGATAGAGGGACTTTATACCAATGTGCTTTTCAAGGAAACATTTGTAATTCTGTACATGCTTTTACTCATGATTGTTGAGACCATTTTGCAGCGGTATAAAAGATCAATGAAAATTTGAATGGAATATGACCCACCAATTCGTATTTTATATAGTTTTTTTTAAGGGAGTGCCTAAAGCTTTGGAAGAACATTCTCACATATAATGCACAAAATGTATTATTTCCCTTTGCACTTTTCGTGAAAAATGTTAAGTTTTTATATAGTTCAAACGAAAAGTGCACAATTGAATAGTTACTTTTAATTAGAAAAAATAATAATAAAATTTATTTGAATTATATAAATGACAATCTGATCTTACAAAATGTCATAATTTTATTAAAATTTTTAAGGACTTCTTTATCAATAAATTTTAAATTAAAAAATTATTTTATCTTTAGTAACAAGTTATATTTTTTGTTTAATTCTTGTGATTTAAAATTAATGACCACAATAAATCATTTATAAGAACTAGAGGGATTATCTCTTTCTAATTTTATTGTGATCATTGATTTAATTTTAATGAAGGAATCAAAGAAAAATTAAACCTGACTAATCTAATTTAAAAATATGACAAGTTTTTGACAATCTATGTATTAAATATACATACTTTAAAAATAAAATAAATAAAAATAACTTAAAAATAGTATCAAAAAAACTATATAAGTTTATAATTTATCCATCATTTAATATAAGTGAGATGATAAATATAAATATAATAATTATTGATATACTTTATAAATAATATTTTAAAATAAATTTTTTCTCCCTGTCTTATAAATAAAACATGACAAATAGATTGAAAAGAAATTTTATATCAGCCCTGGTTGTGCTGCTTAATCAATTTGCTTTAAATATTATTTGTGCTCTTGAAATTGCCACGCCTACAACAAGCATGGTACCCCGTGACACCTAGAAGCTTAGTCAATCAGTCAATATAATGGCTCGAACGTTTCTATCGGAATCGTTTGTAGCATTTATGATTCATTATTGTAATGAATTGAACGCATGCAATCCGGGACAAAACAAAAATTAACGTAAAAAACATAATTTACTATGCCAATAATAAAAGATCTTGAAAATTGAAATATTTCTAACACCATGATTCATTTTTATAATCTACTTCCCATCCCAATTTATAATATTCTTTATATAAAATTACACATATCAATAAAATTCATTAAATATATTTTATAGCATTATTTTTTTAAGACAAGAATATACATTTTCAAAAAAGCTCTTGATTTGGTTCTCTGTTTGTGAAAGAATATTAAATGAAGAGAATACACATAAATGATAATATTAAAAAAAATCATTAATGAAACTTTATTTTCATCAAAGTATTTTCTAAGAGTAATGTTTTTAAAATCGAACCAAATATCAAACTCGAAAGATCAACAATTCACGATTTGTATAGTCCGACCAGGTTGGATCCATAGTCGAATTAATAATGTAATAATTAAATTAAAAAAATTATATATGTATAAAATAATCTAAATATAAGAAATAAATATGAAATTACTACTTAACTTAAAAATAAAAATAAATATTTTAAATTTATCATGACTTAACAAATCACATGATACAATATAATATCAAATGACTAAAAAAATTTCTCATTTTCTAAAAAAATTGATAAAAAAATAAAAAGAAAAAAGAAAAAGGGCATTTTTTGAACAATCCAATCTTTGAAAATCGGATCTAATTTTCACCTTGATCTTGGTTCCTAGTTTGACTGCCAATTCAAAGCTGCTTAATCAAGCCCAACTCCTAAAATGATTTTTTTTGGCTTGATAGGTAGACGGTCTGACCATCCGGTTTAGTCCGATTTTTTAATCATTTCCTGAAAGTGTTTTATAATTTAGAAGGAAGGCAGTATATCTATACACACATATTATAAAAACTTAATGAGTGTACTATTTATGAAGATAAACAATATAGTTCGTTTTATAATTTATGTAATTAAATTTTTATCACAAGTTCATAATTTATGTAATGGGATCTATTTGCATGGTGAATCTCTCTTGGCCACCTCTTGTTTCATGGCTGAGACTTTCGCTGTCCTCACAGCTAAGAAGTTAGTTGCCATTCTGAGTATTGTTAATCTGAGTGTTGAGCCTGATTGCAAAACTCTTGTTGGCTCATGGATTGGGATATTAATCCCCCTCCTGCTTTGTCTGAGTTGTTATCAGCTAATTCCAAATTCCAAGTATTCTAATTCTTTGTAATTTCTTGACTTTGAGAAATGAATTTTTTTTTCTGACAAAAAAAATATAAAAGCAAAGTTAAACACTTGTTATTTTACCAAAGAAAAAAGTTAAAAACTTAGAAGTTTGATAATTTTTAGA